GGTTTCTGGGGTTTTGTTTAGCTTCTATATTTGCAACATAGTACATAGTTGCTTAGAGTTGCAGCTGAGAGGCCGGCAACTCAGGCGGGGAACGTTGGAGTCCGCTATCACTGGAGCAAGCAAGCCTCCCTGTTGACTACAGCGCATGGCTGCCGGCCGCCATCTTGGCTGACAGTTATTTTGCATAAGGATATGCTGATTAGCCAATGGAAAGGGTGGTGGTCGTATGCTAATTACCATGTTTCTCTTTTATTAGTGTAGATAATCTCTCTATATAAAAGCCTAAGTGATGTCAACCAGTAGCTATGATGCACACTGACCGCCAGGGGGCAGATGCTCAATGCAGGGGCTGCCCCCTGGTGGTCAGTGTGCTCCCTCAGTGGGGCCAGACCCTGGGCTCATGGCTGGTGAGTGGAGCTGAGGCTGTACGAGCCTCTCCTGCAGACACTCCCCCTGTGTGCCCCTCCCCATCTGGACCAGGACCAGGATCAGAACTGGCAGGGACCAGGACTGGCATCGGGACTGACTAGGTGCGAGCCTATTGCTGCTTCTTGGTCATAGGTCATAGGCATGCCAGTATCGCCCTAGGATGGCCGCATGGAGACCACAGTGGAGTGGCAGTGAGCCTACCGAGCTATGGCAGTGGCGGCAGGTGCAGTGGGGCCTGGATGAGCAGGAGCGGTGTGGCACCCAGCCAGGGCTTGGGCTCCTCCCCCAGCCACCTGCCACTTTGGCACTACTACATCCCTCAGGGGATGTAGGACTGTTGGTTTTGGCTGATGCCTGCAGGCCAGGCTGAGGGACCCCCACCGGTGCATGAATCTGTGCCCCGGGCCTCTAGTTGCCATATAACATTGTGTAAATTTAAGGTGCACATATGATAGATATGATACACATATATGTTGCAAAATGATTACCACAATAGGTTAACACCTCCATCCCCTCACCTAATTAACTTTGATAAATTTTGTCATGACAACACTTAAGATCTACTCTCTTAGCAACTTTCAAGTAAACAACAACTGTTGTCACCATGCTGGACATTAGAGTCCCAGATCTTGAATTTATCTTATAACTGAAAATTTCTACCCTTTAACCAAAATCTCCCCATTTCCCCCACCTCCCAGTGCTTGGCAACCACTATTCTACTCTCTGTTTCTACAAGTTTTACTTTTTAGATTCCATATATGAGTGAAATGATACACTACTTGTCTTTCTCTGATTGACTTACCTTACTTAGCATTTGTAAATTTAACAGAGGCACATCCTACCTGAAGATTAGTTACTCTATTTACTGACAGTTAATTCTTTAAGGATTTGTGTCTGGAGAACCTTTATCGAGAAAATATTTTGGCATTTGCCATAATCATTAGGTAATACAGTACCTTTACACCAGCCCAGTAGTCTGGGCATAGAAATGATAGGCACTTCATCTACTATGGGGGAAAATATATTGCTTCAATGTTTTGCTAATCATTTTCATTGCTATTGATAAAGACCCTGCTTTAGATCACATACAGATATATTCATGGAGGGCAATGCAAAACAGTGGGATATTTATCCTTTTCTTATAGTAAGTCTCTAAAGTGCTTTGCCATCCGAGAAGTAACCATTCAAGTATGTTTCAAAGTAAATATTTTTGTAGAGTTAATAATGGTAAATCAGTTCTTTCTGAAAGTTTTGGTTTGTTTTGGGAACTTGTGTCCCACCATTACCATGGCTTCTGGCTTTATTTGGCTGAGTTCCTACATCTTGTTTTCTTTCCCAGGCAGAACAGTGCAGTGGACTACAGGGATTTTTGATTTTCCGAAGCCTTGGAGGAGGCACTGGATCAGGATTTACATCTCTCTTAATGGAGCATCTCTCGATACAATACGGCAGGAAGACTAAATTGGAGTTCTCTGTCTACCCAGCCCCCAGGATCTCCACTGCTGTAGTAGAACCTTACAACTCCATCCTCACCACCCATTTCACATTAGAGCACTCGGACTGTACCTTCATGGTGGACAATGAGGCCCTCTATGACATATGCCATCATAAACTTGGTGTTGAACGCCCCTCTTACACCATCATTAATAGGCTGATAGGTCAGGCAGTATCTTCCATTACTGCTTCCCTCCGGTTTGAAGGGCCCTTGAATGTGGACCTAAATGAATTCCAGACCAACCTAGTACCTTATCCGAGAATTCATTTCCCTATGACAGCCTTTGCCCCCATCATTTCTGCTGACAATGCCTACCACAAGGACTTCTCTGTGGCAGATATCACCACTGCTTGCTTTGAGGTCTCCAACCAGCTGGTCAAGTGTGATCCTCGATTGGGGAAGTACATGGCCTGCTGCCTACTTTATAGAGGGGATGTGGTCCCTAAGGATGTCAATGCAGCAATTGCAGCCATGAAGTCAAGGAACTCTGTTCAGTTTGTAGATTGGTGTCCAACTGGTTTCAAGGTGGGCATCAACAGTCAACCACCCATGATGATGCCCGGGGGAGAAATGGCCAAGGTCCAGCAGGCTGTCTGCATGCTGAGCAACACCACAGCAGTTGTAGAGGCCTGGGCCCGCCTGAATCACAAGTTTGATCTCATGTATGCCAAGAGGGCATTTCTACATTGGTACATCAGAGAAGGTATGGAAGAAGAGGAGTTTTCAGAGGCCAGGAAAGATCTGGCATGTCTGGAGAAGGATTATGAGGAGGTGGGGCAAAGTTTCTGAGGTATATGTGATGGTGAAAATAATGTTAAATGCCATGCTTACTTTATAAGACATTTTACAGTTGGTGGGTAGAGTTCCTTTGATTAGAAGAAGAAAGAAATCAAATGAAACAAGAACATAAGTTCCACACTAAATTAAATCAGCCAATATTAACAATGAGAACATCTTTTCTTGTCTGTTAGTATAATTCAGCACTGCTACCTGTGGACCTTCTAAGCTTTGGAGTCCTTTCTGGGTCGTGTCATTTGTGTGTTTGTATGTGTGTTTTGTCAGAGTGGAAACCTGGCTATATATTTTTTGCTTTTCAACCATGACACTATGAAGCACTAAAGTTAATGCTTTCCCTATCCTATACCTGAGGTGAAAAACAGCAAAATATTGATTATTAATGTTATCCATGTCTATATTTTGTACTTTGATTAAATTATGAACATTTTCAGTATAATTCTTTTTCTTCCAAATGTGGCCTTAAAGTCTCAGTTTGCTTTTTATACAAAAAAACAAACAAGAATATTCTTGGGTCTTTCATAAATTTGAATCTGTGTGTCCTGTTGGTCAGAGGGTGAAAGTGATCTCTTTTCCATTTTCCTTCCTTGAGGAGGTATTCTCAAAGTGTGGCTGCAGAACCCTGCACAGAACCATTCCACAAGTTTAGAAAAAAAGGCAGATTCTTGACCAGCACTACAGACTTGCTAAATGAGAAGCCTTGGGGATTGGAGGGGATGTGACTTGAGGATTTGAAGTTAAAAAAACCCACTTAATAGAATTAATTTTTGGTATTTTAAACAGTGTTACTGTTTAGCAGTAACCCATTTTCAAATAAGTATTAATTTAAAATGGACAAAATAGCTATAAATGCATTAAAATCACTAGCTGGATTTTTAGAAGCCATGTTGTATGGCCTAATAGTTAGAATTAAGGTGATCTAGATACTACAAAGATTTCCCCTCAGTCTTAGTCTTCGTTCTGTCTTGGCATAACCATACTTCCACCTGGCATCATTTTCCTTCTGACAAAATAACTCCCTTTACTCTTTTTAAATGTGTATCTAGGGTTGAGAGGGTATATTTGCCCTTGCTTCCTCGGAGAGTGAGATCACCTGAGCTAATGATTGAACTAATTCTGAGGAGTATAAGCACTAATTAAATGTGATCTTGAGGCAGGGTCTGTCTTATTCATCTGAGTCTCTACAGTGACAGGCATAGAGTCGGTACTCAATAATTATTAGATTGAAAAACACCAGGAGATCACCTTATATCCTACTTTATATAAATCACATCTATTTGACTTTAACTTTTTATGTTCCTCTTTGATCTCTCCTTAAAAATTACTTTGAATCTTCACATATCCTCTTATCCCAGAGGAAAGACTTCTTCTTTCCAAGGTCACTTAGGATTTGTGTACCTTCTCCCCTTGACTGCTCTAGGAGACCTTGTCTCTTCAACCCCCTGCAGAGTCTGTCTCTCTCCATTGACTTTTTTTCTTCTTTTTACTTATATGTCGAGGTCTCCTCATTCCAACATTCAACACCCTTTTCTGGATTCTATTACTTTTAAAATTTACTGTCACATGTTTGCACTCTATCAAACTTTTCAAAGGAATATACATTTGATGCGTATACCTCATCTTCTGCTCACTCCTTAGCCTTTGTGATTTAGTGAACTCCCATTATTCTACTGAAACTATTGTTTCGAAGATCATTGATCATACTAGATTTATCAAAACAATGACTTTATCAGTCTTCAGATTTCTTGAGTTTAAGCATTTGGTAATTTTTTTTCCTTGAAACTTTTCCTTCGCCTCCTGTGGCACTACTTGGTTCTCCTCCTCAGATTCCTTTTTTCCATTGTCTGTCCCTAATGGAGATACCCTTGGTCCTTTTCCCTGGTCTTTATTTTATTCATAACCATATCAAGTCTATATGGATGACTGAGAAACTCTATATTTCCATTCTCTCTTGAGATTTTTTTTTTTTTGCTAATTCTCACTTGAGGATATTTTTCCATTGATTTGTTTTTAAAGAGAGAGTGAAAGGGAGGAGGAGAGACAGAGAGAGAAACATCAATGTGAGAGAGACACATTGATTGGTTGCCTCCAACACAAGCCCCAACCAGGGCCGGTGATTGAGCCTGCAACCGAGGCACATGCCCTTGACCAGAATCAAACCCAGGACCCTTAAGTCTGCAGGCCAAAGCTCTATCCACTGAGCCAAACAGGATAGGGCCTCTCTTGAGTTTGATACTAGAATTTTCACCAGATATGCTGGACGTATCCTCCCAGATGTTGTGCCTATGCTTAAATTTAACTTCTTTCAAGAAAAACATAAATTTCCTCCAAAGAAATCTGCTCTTCCTTTGGTGTTCTGTCTTGTTTATTTATGTTATCATCTCCTCACTTAAGCAGAGTTTAAGCAGTCATTTTTTACTGCTCCCTCCTGCTCCCTACATACTAGAATTAAGTCCTATCAATTCTGCTTCTATAATGTTTTCAGAATCCCTTGTCTTTTCTTCTTGTTAATAACATCCTAGCTCAGGTCATCAACTCCTCTCTTTGTCCCCAGCACAGCTGGCATGGCCCAGTGGTTGAACATCGACTTATTGAACCAGTAGTCACGGTTTGATTCCCAGTCAGGGCACATGCCCAGGTTTCGGGCTTGATCCCCAGTGTGGTATGTGCGTGAGTCATATCAACGATACCCTCTCATCCTTGATGTTTCTATCTCTCTCCTTCTCCCCCCAACTCTGAAATCAATAAAAATGTGTTAAAAAATAAATGCTTTCTGCCTCTCACTTTGTCTTCTTGATCTATCCTACTCATTACTCTGTGACTGTTCTGCTGCACAGCTTAGATTATTCTGCTCCCTATACAAAGCTTTGATAATTCCCCATTGTCTTAGGCATAAAGTGTAAACTCCTGCATGTTACATGCAGAGCCTGTCACCACTAGTTTCAGCTAAAATTTACAATCCCAACCTCTACTTTGCTGTCATACATTCACACTAGACTCTCACCACTTCTCAGCAGAGATTCTCTTTTCTCTCTCCTATACCTTGGCTCCTTCTCCTTGCTGTCTCTCTTACTTCCTCTGTGACAATTGAATGTAATTTCTATTACAAATCCAGTTCAGATGCCACCTGTTCCATGTAGCTGCTTGGGACTCTTCTTCCTTGTGCCCCTTCCAGCTACCAGATTGATTAGTAGTATTCACTTACTTCTACCTCAGGATTCAGGGATGGTTGGGATACATTAAGAAATCTCACTATACATGGTGGGGCAAAATTAGGTGTACAGTTATGGGTACACAAAACAGTTTATTTTATTATTATTTATTAATTATGGTATTATTTTCCATATTAATAGCTGTAAACCTATGAAAGTATGCCACACCGTGTATTGTAGTAAGTACTCAGTGATGAAACTTTTTTTCCATGTGCATATCTTGCTTTGAACTTTTATTAGGCTCTTACTAAGTACTTAAAAAAATTTTTTTTAAATGTATATGTATTGTTTCCCCCTTCAGACACTGGAGGGCACTGGTGAAATGCTTAAAATAACTGCTCAGTTGCTCAAATGAGTATTGATGTTCTGGACAGCATTTGTATGTGTGTGCATGCATGTGTGTGCATTCTCATACACAGAAAAGACCATTAGGGGTGGGGAGGATGACAGGTTTTTCTACTGTCTTAAAATTTAATAGTCAACTAAAATTAAGATAAAGCAACAAGTTATTTTGTAAAATTTTAAGTTCAGCTTGTGAATCTCATTATTTCTAAGTCTAGAAAACTTAAATAATCACTTTTAAAGGAAATAGATATGCCTTTTTGTTCTCCTTTGCATTCTCAGATACACATTCTTATCCTGTCTAATAAAGAGGGAATATGCTAATTGACCCTCACACCATCGCAAAGATGGTGGTGCCCACAGCCAATAAGGAGGGAATATGCTAACTGACTGCCATGCCCTCAAAGATGGCGGAGCCCACCAATAAGGAAGAAATATGCTAATTGACTGCCCTGCCCTCAAAGATGGCGGCACCCAAAGCCAATAAGGAGAGAATATGCTAATTGACTGCCCCACCCTCAAAGATGGCAGCACCCAGTCCCCTTGGCCCTGCTGGGGTGGCAGGCATGCAGCAAGGCCAGGCCTGCCCCCAAGCAGGCCTGGGTGCTCCATGTGCCTGCGTCCGGAGACCCCCAGTCCCCTCAGTCCCCCAGCCACCCAGGGCCACCCAAGGCTCAGGTAACCAGGGCCGGCCGAGGCTTGTGCTGCTGGCAGTGGCAGCAGCAGAGGTGTGATGGGACATCACCTTCCCCTGATCGCCGGGTCCCCTCCCCCCCCTGAGGGCTCCTGGCCTTTGAGAGGGGGCAGGCCGAGCAGAGGGACCCCCCTCCAGTGCATGAATTTTCATGCACCAGGCCTCTAGTATATTTTATATTTCCTTTATAAATTTGATATATTTTCTTTTCTCTTAAAGACTAATTGACAAATTTTCTCAAGTGCCCTATTCAGATCCTTACTTATTTCTCTTTTGGGTTTTTTCTTTTCCTCTCAATTTTTAGTAGCTCTTTATAAATTTGATCAATAAGCCATTTGTCTCTTATATGAGTGGCAAACATTTTTCTAAATTTGTCATTCATTTGTGTTTTTATTTTGCTGCTGCTGCTGGTGGTAGTGTCAACTGCTGGTGTGTGTGTGTATGGGTTGTTTACTTCACTATGTAGAAATTCATTTTACATATTTATGACTTATCACCATGCAGAAGTGAGTGGAACCACAGTCCCTCTCTGGGAAACTGGCTCTTAGGCTTTGCTGGTGGAGGCTATCAGAGTTCTTCCTGATGTCTGTTGTTAGTGGACTTTTACTCATATTAAACCCCTCATCTCTGAATTCCTTATATATTCTTCACACTAATTGCTATCACTTTGCAATTCATCACTTACATATTCCCTGGTGGTATTTGCTTTTATTTTCATTTTGGTTTTGTCTATTTGCTTAGATGTTGACTCGTGGAGAGCAGCGGCTTTGCCTCAAACATCAGCATCTCCCAGGTGCTTAGCACCATGCTGGGCAGTTACTGTGGGTTCCGTGAGCACATATGAAAGGCTTCCCAGCCCTATGCACTAGCAGACCATGAGGATGTGGGGTGTCCCATCGGGGATACTGAAAGCTCCCTCTCCTGTAGAGCCCAGGTATCATCCTGGCAGCAGATCCCTGCTGGCTATGCCCTTTGGGTGGGATCAAGCCATGGAGATGGCTCTAGGTTGAATGATAGCTGACATAATCCTGTCAGTATGATCTTTCCCAAGCTCTTCTTTACTCTACCTATGACACCCAAGAACCATTCCCATCTGGGAGAGATGGGGAATTGACTTATCTATATCCTCCCTCATTTGCCTTCCCTTTCTGAGTTCAGAGGAACTGACACGAGCCAAAGGTTCAAGAAGTCACTTGATTTAATGGAAGCAAGAGGGTAGGGTAGGGATCTAGTGGCAGGATGGTAATCAGTGTGTCTCTTAATCTTCCAGCCTTGGCTGGGGTTGCTGTGTGAAGAGAGGAGCCCTAGGTGCTCTCTTCTCAGGCCTGGGATCTTCGGGGAGAAGTGTGGGGAAAGAGAAAAAGAGACACAGAACATAGGGAGAGGCCTTAATAGCTTTGTATCTGTGAAGTTGGGACAATTCTGCATGCCTGTGTATTGTACCGAGAAAGCTGGGCTGGAGCTAGGAAAGGATCAGAGGGGTTGAGCAGTGAGGCAGCCTGTAAAACTGGACTGCCCACAAAATAAAAGCCAGTTGGGTGGGCAAACTCTTACCCTCCACCTGATCTCCATCCTTGTCCTTAATGGGCTGCCTTGCTGTCCTCAATTCTACTTCTTTCGTCCAATCTGTGCCATCAGATGGGCATTGGCAGCTGCCTTGGCTCTCAAGTTCTTGGCCTTGGCAATGTTTAAGAGGACATTCATGACATTAGTGGGGACATCAAGGGATAGAGTGAACTTGGTGCGCCGGTCACTCTTGGCCTTGTTCTGGTACACCTTCCCTTTGAGCTGTGCTTGGGATAAGTACTTGTACCGAGAGCTCCCAGCTCCACCACTGCCCCTGGGAGCAGAGAAGGCCCTTTTCTTCTTGTTTTCTCCCTCCTCATCCTTTTCTTTGTCCTCATCTGAGGATGGGTCCTGGCTGGGTAGGTAGGGGAAGCCTCTCTTGCTCAGCAGGGGTATATCCTCCAGCTGGTTCTTCTTGGCCTCAGACAGGGCCGTGTTGATACAGCAGAAGATGGACTCGGCTTTGGAGAACTTATGGGACAGACTCATCCTGGGGGCCCCTTGGAGAAGCAGCAGCAGCAGCAGGAAGTGGGCTGGCACACGCATCTCTCCCTGTGGTAGAAATGAGGGAAATGGGAAGGGGCGTGAGAGGGGTTCAAGGCTCAGAAGCACATGGGGTTTTGCCCACGCTCTGCTTACTAAAATGGTTCTCTCCACCCACAGCAGCACCTGGACATTTATTAGAAATGTAAATAATTCTCAGGGGACTGAGTTGCAGATGTCATATTCTCTCTCTCTCTCTCTCTCTCTCTCTCTCTCTCTCTCTCTCCTCTATCTAGGGTTTGCAGGGTAAAGGAAAACAAACTCTCCACACAGAAAAGTCATCATCCTCATTTGCTTCCCTACTGACGTCTAATTCCTAAGCAAGTTTCTCCTCTTCCATTCTTTGGGTGCTTTGGCCATCATCTCTAGTGAAACACCACAAACATTTATATTTCTCTGCTACCTGCTATGAAAATAAGCAAGCCCCATCTACTTAGATTTAAAGTAGAGGGGTAAAACTCTACATCTATATTTTTCTTGTTTGTATATCTGAAACTCAACCATTCTTTAAGGTTGTTATAGCAGTACCTTCTCTGGGTGATTTAAAGATACACACTTAATTTTGAAATCTGTGACAGAGTCCAGTCCTAGGAACCTGGGCCTGCCTGAAATTCAGAGCATCTCTGAGGGAGAGGGTACCGGAAGGGAAAGACTTTGGGGGTACTGGAAGGGAAAGAGCTCAATTATATAGCTGTGCCCCCTGCTAGCTCCATTTTCCAGTGGGGAAGGGTTGGGAAGGATGACAGAGTTATTCCCTATTTTACCCAGTTTGTCTGCAAACACTGTTAAGAAGTTGAATTTAAAAAAATGAAGAATTTAGCCCAGCTATTGTGGCTTGGTGGTTGAGTGTCAACCTATGAACCAGGAGGGCACAGTTCAATTCCTGATTGGGCACATATCTGGATTGTGGGCTCGATCCCCAGTCGGGGGTGTGCAGGAGGCAGCCAATCAATGATTCTCTATCATTGATGTTTCTATCGTTCTCTTCCTCTCCCTTCCTCCGAAATCAATAAAAATATATTTTTTAAAAATGAAAAATTTAAAAACATTTTAGAAAACAGTGCCTGCAGAACCTAGGGAAGCTTTAATCATTTTAAAAGGAATAGTAGTGAGTATAGCAGTAAGCTGTTTTCTTCTTGTAGACTCGTGTTAGTGTTGTGTGACCACAGACAGACACACACACGCACACACACACACACACACACACACACACACACACACACACAGGCACCTCTAAGCAGTGCACTCTCAAAGTGGGCAGTGAAGGTTTCTAAATGAAAGGCTCTTCCTCCAAAGAGGGGGGAACAGCCAGAGGAAAGTTGACATGTTACAGATAGCTGGTCATTGGAAGAATTTGTATTACTGCCGTATTATTTAATCTATTATTGGAAGTGGTGTGTGTGTGTGTGTGTGTGTGTGTGTGTGTATATCTGTGTCTGTTTGCTATGCTTGAGGAGAAAATTGCAAACAGGATTTCTCAGAAAATTTGGGCATCAAATGGAGACACCAAACATCCATCTTTATGGTTTTTCCCTTTCACTGGTAGCACCTAGTCCCTGGAGATATCTGTCCCCTTCCTCCAAAGTCCCTAGTGTAGCAAGAGGGAAAGGACTCCAGGTTTTGAAGGCAAAGGACCTGGGCTCAAAACTTTCCTCACTTTCTTAATTATTTTGGGTGGATCTCTTAGTCCACATCCTAAAAAGGAGACGTTACCTGCTCACAGGTGTATTGAGAGAATGAAAGGTGACAGAGGTTAAAGATGCTGGCATATGATAAACAATAATTGCAAGCATCCTACTGCCCCTGTAGGCAGTAGGGGATATTCTGTAGTTTCTATCTCCTATCCCCATTGGTAAACTATTACCAAGGGCCATTTTTCATGTTCATGACTGAATTCTGTTCAGAAAAATAGATTTGTATGAACCCATTCTGCCTTCAATCTATTACCTTTTGCAAAACCTGTGTGTCTGTATCAACAAAAGGATTATTTTACCCTTCCCTCCCCACCCCCCTTAGAAACTTCCCCATGGTCTCATATTTAAAACACCGTGGCATGCAGCACTATCTTTCAATTTTCATGTCTCACCCTTGCCAAGTCCCCAGCACCTCCTGCCTAATTTAGGGCAAGTAAATTTATTCTTCATAGAAAAGCCTCTATCCAAAATCTTACCCGAGAATGGACTCCGGAGTGGAGATGCTCAGTGAGGCAGGTGCAGCTTCAGGACCAGGTCTGCCCTGGGAACATCCCCCTGAACTTCTGTCTCTGCTGGGGTCGCCGGCTCCTTTTCTTGTATTGTTTCCTCTCTGTGGAGACTGCTCCACTCCTTCGTGTGTGTATGGAGAAGTGACAGATCACAGGGTGGGTCCTAATTCCAGACGTGGTGTCTACAGTGGGATGCGATTTCATTTAAAATACAACCAGAAGCAGCTGTCCACGTCATGGATACAGCAGGCACTCTGTATCCTTGACCCCTCCTACCTGCCTTTCCTCCCAGCCCTCCCCACCTCTCCCTTCCCCTCCTGCCCTAGCAGCTTGCTTCATTGATAAAAAGAAAAAAAACACTGTTAAACTGAGAGGCAGTTTCTTTGAAAAGTTTTATTACTGATCTTAGTTCTTACTAATTTCAGGCTTTCTACATCCCCATCACCCTAACCTGACTTTTGGAAATCTAGAGCTAGGACCTGCTTTGAAAAGAAAGAAGGTGGCTTGAGCTTTACCTGCTGTCTTAAAATTCTTGTGGGTTCTGACTTGCAGTGTTGTCACACAAAACTCAATATATTTGAGCTAAGGGCACATAGGGGCAGGCACAGTATACCCAGAGCTTTTGGTGGCAAAGTACTTGATTTTACCTATTTATTCATCTATTCATTCAATATTGGTGGGTGGTGG